GGGGCGAAGGGGACCGCACGGGACAGGATTCGAACCTAGCCGCCTGGGACTGTAGTGCAGTGTGTGACAATTACTCCGTAGTACGGTCAAGCGCATGAGCAATTTCTGCATATGCATACGCGCACTTTTACACTCGCACTTACGCACAGACAGCATAATAAAACACAAGACTGTAGAAAACATTGTACCCATGTCAAGTCAGCAAAAATACGCCTTCCGATACAACAGCGGCGGGCGGCTGTATCCAGACGTGAATAAAGGGAGCTCGTGAATCACAGCTAGCGCCGGCAATTATGGCACCAATGCTCATGTATTATTATATACCCATAGCGTTGCTATGGAGACCTGTGCAACCACACTTTTGTTGCTATAAAAACCAATAATTTAGGGAGACACTGCAATGAGAAGCAGCGATGTCATGGGTTCAAACCCTGGACCTGGGTGTCTGCCCCCACCCCCTTCTCTCTCTGAGGGTTCACAATGGCCGTGTCGAAAACGCCGAGCAAAAAGCAGCGATTTCCTGGTTTTAAACCCGAAGAGGTCTGGGTGTCTCTCTCTCTCGACAGAGAAAGTGATGATTGTTCATAATGGCCATGTCAGACATTGCGCCAGAAGCATCGTTTGTTCTGTTTCCAAGCTTCTGCGTCTGGGTGTATCGCTCGCTCGTTCTCTCTCTCTCTCGATGGTTCGTAATGGCCGTGTCGTTGACGACGAGTCCTGCACCGCCGAGATCCTGAGCTCATCCCCGGGTTTGGGGTCTCTCTCTCTCTCTCGCTCTCAGAGGGTGCAAAAATTGGCTGTGTCGGAGACACGGGAGCCAAAACCTGCTGACGTGCTGGGTTCACTATGATTTGGTGTAACCAGCAAAAGCCTCGATAAGCACACCTGATAACCAGTCCTGATATAAGCAACACAGTCGTGGTGGGGGGGGGGAAGGCAAAGAGCAACTTCTGATTTAAGTAAATTACTTTGGATATAAGCACAGCTGGCCTTGGGTGTGCTTATACGAGGCTTCTTCAACATCTCAATCGTGAAACCCTTGAGAGTGAGAGAAAGAGAGATACATTCGGATGCAGGAGTCAAAGCCAGGAGCCTCACGGGTTCTGGCTCGTAGTGTCCGACACGAGAGCCATGACGAACCTTGTTAAGAGACCCAGGCACCTAAAAAAACCCAGAATTTTCAGTGGCGTCCGCTCAGCATCCGCCGACAAAGCCATCGCGAAGCCTTCTCTCGGGCAACACCGCCCGGTCCAGCCCACCCCCCTTCTATCAACGGTAAACATAGAGACGACATGCACGTATTCAGCAACTCGGGGAGGGGGCAAACGTTGCAGTACGCCGCCACCGAGGAGATTCACGACGTACCCATTTGCGGAGCAACATTCTTGAGTGTTCCAATTCCCTTCGAGCAACCCGGTTTCCCCCTCCTGCCCCCCAAACACGGAAACCAACACCAAATACGACGGGCCAAGAAGTCCCAACAACGTAGCAGCAGCACCCTCCTCCTGCGAAGAAGTCTCGAGACTCGGCGACGCTTCGCCGGGTTAAACGTCGCGCCCTCGTTAAGCTACTTCCCCCACCCCCACACCGCCCGCCCGCCCCTCTCTCGTGCACCGCGTTCACCGGAGCGGACGTTGCTCCGTCGATGTTTATTGGCGCCACGGCACGCATTGCAGTCCTCCTCACGCTTCCCCCCCCCCTCCCAGTAGGACGTCAAATCCCCCGTATCAGTGCGGCAAAAAAGGGGCCGTCGACGACAACCGTGACCCCCCAGCCCCCGCTCCGGCGGAAACGTTGGGCAAAGCGGCGGGGAAGAGACAGAGACACGAAGAGGGGCTTTCGGGCGGTCTCATCGAATTGCACGCCGACAAAAGTTTAGACGCAAATTGGAGGAGCGTGGCCGACGGGGGGTGGGCGGCGGTGGCGGCGGGTTTCTTTTTGACGGCCGGCCGCGGTAAAGTTACGGCCAAAGCGACGTCCACGCGTCCCCGCCAATCGCGCACGGCACCGATGGAGGCACTCCGTCCAGCAATGGATCGAAACAACGGCCGCACATGGCGCGCGTGCGAGGGCAGGGGACCGCGGCCGACCCCGAGAGATTCAACGCTCGGAGCTTTTTTTATTTTCGGCTTGGCGTTTAGCACGGGGGGGGAAACCGGAGTTGATGGGAGAAATTGCAGCCACTCGAGAGGGGAATGCAACACGTCGTCACGTTTGCCACACAAGTACTCCCCTCCCACCCCTCCCCGTTTGCCACGGTGACGATTATCCCAATCACCATCGTCATAATAACAAACAAACAAAATCGTCAGGCGATTATTAAATGTATGCATTGAGAACAGGTTGAAGCTATGCACTTCTAGACGCGACCCAAAGGTTTTTATCTCCTATCTACACACACACAGACAGACACAGATGGCTTTCCAGTATTGCCCCACACAACGAGTAACACTTCGTTTTCATTACTTTGTCTCCTGAATTTGCATCCCAATTTCGCCGTCGGCGGTCATGTCACGAGACAAAGTTCCCCACTCGAATCTCTCGCAGAGCAGCGCGACCCCCCCCCCCCCCTTCGTGTCGAGAAAACAGTCCGAGGAAGCGGATATCACACAACTACTTCTGATATCCCTAACAAAGTGGGGGGGGGGGGGGGGGGGGGGGCACAGCTCCGACGCCGAAGAGCAATGTTCGTCACGTAACAGTCAAACCGACAGATTTTTCTTTCTCAAAGAGCCGGAGAGACTCGGCCGAATTTAAACGTGGACCCGAATTCAACGTCATGGGTTTTTCCGCGCCGTCGTTTGGTCGAGGCAGAACCTGGTTTATTCCCCGGCGACGAAAACGTGCCACCCCGGCCACCTGAGCGTGAAGCTTTATTCATAAGGCGGAAAAAAAAGATTTTTTAAAGTCTCGTCGGTCATGTGGTTTCCAGTAACACCGCACACGCTGGCACCCTCTAGTGGTGTCACTGCGCACGAGTCGTCGCGTTTTGAATCGACCACGATGCAATGCGGTGTTATCGCGTGCAGTTCCACAGCGGGAGAGACGGTGATACCAGGAGGGGGGGGGGTGGGTGGTGGGCAGGTGGTCACGCGCATCAAACGGATTGCGATTGGATGGGCGACTACTGTGCGGATTTAAAAAAACATTCCAATGGAGCGGCGCATTTAACCGGCGCATGGTGAATAAAAAACACAATCGATGATTTAACGACGAAGTAAAACAAAAATAGCTAAAATACTTTTTCTTTTGGTTGCGTCCGTTAATAAAATATTAATTACAAACTAACACGGGGAGGTGGGGGGGGGATTAGCAGGGGGTTTGTTTAAATCGCCGAAATAAATCAACTCGTAATCACAGTTCCTCATCCACATCCTCGTTGGCGGGTCAACTCGGATCGCCAAGAATCACCTCTTTGACGATTTGCTAAACCCCGAGCAGTACCACTTTAGGACGATATTCGACAAGTCCCTTTTGCATGGGACTGGCGCCTGCCACGGCAATGTGGAATTTCCCACCACTGGTGTCAAAAGGCTGCAAAATAAGAAACGATCACAGACCCCTCGACCCCCCCCCTCCCCTCAACGATTGCTTGGGAAGAGAACGGGAGGGTAAAATAATACTTGGGGTGGATATTTATCTAGCGGCAGCAAGGCAGATCCATGGCCAAATGGCGGTAGAAAACCTGGCCAAAAAAATCGGTGGCCACACAGAGAAACTCCGACTGGACGTGGCCCTGCTAAGGCAATGGGAGGATGCAGTGTGGAGCAAGATTTGTGGCCAGTGGACGCGACTAACAGAGGCGCAAATGAGCAGACCCTCCCTGCCCCCCCCATGCCATGTTAAATGAGACTTCTGGCTTCAGAAGAGTGATTTAAGAACACTGATTTGACGCGACTTCAGAACCGAGAAGGGGTCTTGGGGAGGAGGAGGGGGAAGACAATTTGGGGCGATCAGAATTAAAAGTCACGTTCATTTCGGCGATTCGACAGACACCTCACCGTGGACAGGAAGGAAAACAATTAGAAGAAAAGACGAACATTGCACTTTTACGCAGTGTCAACATCGCACAAACGATCCCCCCCTGTACGTGTCCCGTCCCCTCACGCCCAAGCAAAGCTCTGCTCAGCTTCACAACAGCGAAAGATTCAGTGTATACGTCACCCTAAGCGTTGGTCTCGTTCGTCCCGAAGTGAAATGCGTGCAATGCTGAGGTTCTGAAAAAGTTCAAGCATCGTTTTTTGCCCCCCCACCCCTCCACCCATCCCAAACGACTGTTTCCGTAATCTCTTTGTTTTTCGATTTTATTGTTTTTTTTATATCATCGTCATAAGTGAGCCCACGCTTTTTCCCTTGCATAGGAGTGTCAAAATCCCACGTCCGAAGAATTGCGTACAAAAAAAATTAAAAGTGCATTTCCACCTTGTCGAACGTTTCTTTTTATCTCTCCAAGTTTCGTGTCATTGTTTTTTGCGCCAGGGAAAATAAAAAATAATAAACGGTTAAACACAACTTAAAGAAAACGTTCGTTTAAATTAAATCGTTAGGTCCACACGCGTTTTTTTGTTGTAAATTGTCACTTATTATCGTAACCAGTGTTGAAACTAGAGTAAGAAAAAACATTGCTTTGGACAGTATGGAAAGTTCGCTATATTTCTCAAAAGTCGGTGTCGTTTCTCTCCTTGAAAGATTCCTGCAAATTGGTGGGCGTCAAAAAAAATACCAACTCCTTGAAAACCCACAGCCACACAGCGTCAATACACCACCACTGCCACCGCCGCCACCCCCCCAAACACCGCCACAGTGAAGGATTTCTCAGGCAAAGAAATTATTTGAACCAACTATTTCCCTACGGCGCAAGGAAAGCTTGCTTTCTTTTTGGAATTCGGAGATACATCCGAAGGTTAAACCATCCGCGTTGCTTTCCGTTCGTCGTTACCCACCCCCCGCCCCGCTGCTCCCCTATCCCTCGCCCCCCCCCACCACCCACCCACCGCTCGCGTTCAAACCCCTAAAAATAATTTCACATGGGAAGATTCACAGCATCAAAATGCAACAAAAAAAACCCTAAAACAAACCCGTCGAAAATATGTTCACACCACTAAAAACGTTATAGAGTTCGTTGAAGGCACATTACTGGACTTAATATCCCAAAAAATCTTCCAGCCGACGTCCGTCATCTTCCTCTCCTTCTACCGACCCCACCGGGAGATGTTTCTTGAACGAGCCACTCCCCCCGTCGCTCGCGCGCGTGCGGTGTCGGCCGCCGACAGAAATTCGGAGGGGGGGCTTCCCCCTCTCCCCCCCCTGCAATCGCCACGGCCACCCTCCCCAGCACTGGATTGCATATTCGAGTCCTCGGCGGTTGATCAAAGTGTTGAATAAAACCGCTTCTCTCTCGGGGGGACGGGGGGTGGTGGGGGGGGGAAGAGCAAACGGGTCCTATCGTTGTTGTGTTGTGTTTTTTTTTTACGTGCTTAACTTTTCACTCCAACCGGATCGCACGTTTTTATTTCTCGCCAGCCGGGAAGAAACTTGGTCACGTCGGTTCGGTCGAGAACGTGCCGGGGTCCCCGCGGCGATTCGGGATGCAGGCAGCGGGCGGTGGGCGGCGTTGTTGTCGTTGTAACAGTTTCTTGAGCAACTCAAAACCGCTCCTCCACCCCTCTTCCTCGCCAAACGACGGCACGATAGTTTTCAACGCCAGATTCAAGTGCGTCGAGATCTGATCAACAAAAGCAGACCCCCCGGGGAACGTCTGCTGGTGAACATCTCGTCGTCGGCGTCGTGTCTGTTAAGGAGTTCTCATCGCAGCGTGGAGCGTTCCGACACGACCCCCCACAGCCATCGTCGCCCTCTTCCTGGGGCGTGACTCCCCAATCAGGAAGCACCCAGCGCGCGCAAGGGGTCACACACACACAGCACCAGGGTCAAAGTCTCCCCCCCCCCGTTCCGTGCGTGGTGGCGTTCCGTCTCCGCTGGTGGGTCCCAAGGCAGCGGTGGAAGTTCCCGCATTCCCACGGCGGTGAAGGGGGAATGCCGGTTGATCGCTTGCGTCGACTTCCCCACAAAGTGGTACCACTCGTTTTAGCAGCGATAGCGGTGGAAATTCCACATTACCGTGGTGGGGGGGTGGGGGGGGGGGACGGGACCGGTCTCTGCATGGAGGACAATCGCTCGCGATGATTTCCCACAGAGCGGGATCAAACTCAAGTTAGCGGGCGACAGCGGTGAACATTGAACATCTGCGTGGTTGGGGGGCGAGTTTCTCTCCCCGCATAGCGCTCTCTCGCTCTCCCGCAAAAAAGTGGGGACCGCTCGGTTGAAGCGGCGACCAACGGCGGAAAATCCACATAGATCGTGGCAGGAGACGGCCACTCGATGGGGACAACCGTTCAACCATCGGCGGAGTCGACCAGCGGTCGGGAGGATCGGAGCTCGTGACCAGTCCGGTGCTCCGACCGTTGCGCTACTCGGCAAGGCTGTCCATGACGCCGCACCGTCGAAGCGCGCAGGGCCCCCCCTCTTCCCCCAAAGCGCGGGGGGCCAGGGTAGCCGCCCCCCCCCCCCCTCCGATTCGCCATCTACACTAGCTAGGGACGGCTCCGCTAGTTGGTACGGATCAGCGCGATGGGGCCCCACCTCCTCCCCCCTCTACATTTAAACGCCGCGCGCTCAAAACTCTACGCGCTGCGTCACACGGCACTAACGCGTTAACACAGAGACGTGTGCATTTTTGTTTATATACCCATGATGTAACACATAACCCGACGTGCCCCCAACCCACCCCCCACTACCGGCCATTAGAAGAATTGTCACGATTCAAGGTGGCTTGAGCCACCCACTTTGTTCGCGTCGTCAGCCGAAATGTAAACGGTAGCGTTTAATTTGCATATGAAAGGTAAAGCTGCAGCCCTGCAATTGCTCGCTCATGCCACTGCTGGCCTCACCACAGAGGACGTATTTCGCCGACTCCAGACGTCTTGCGAGGAGGTGGTGGTAGTACCCACACATTTAACCCCACACGATCATGTCTAGAATCAGCTGTAAATAAACTTGCGCCATCAACCGACGCCATTATCCTGAGCATTATAAACTAAACCTTATAACCGGTGTATCTTTTTACGCATTCCTAAAATTTCTCACTTCCCCCCCGCCGTATATATTTTGTAACGGCCTAGTAGAATTGTTTCGCTACTCGGCAAATTGAGACACCGTCCCGTGCGTACAATTCAGCATCGGCTGCCGTGGGTCGACCGCGAGCGGCCAGCAACGTGGGGTCCCAATTTTGAAAAACGTTGCTGATCATTTTGCTCTGTTGGGATTCTGCCCCCCCCCCCACTCCCCCCACCCCCATCCCCCCCAACATCGAATCCACAGCATCGTGCTGCCCGGGGGAGACACGGCAGCACCACCTCCTTCCCTCGCCATCACTTCCCCCGGTGCCTCCAACGTCGTCACGTGTGACAACATTGTTAAATATTATTTCGCATTATTACACACAAACTTCGCAAACCACCCCTCCCCCCCCCCACCAAGGCACCACACATTGTAAAGTGCAACGTCCTCGTGCGTGCGTGCGTGTAAACTTTTACACTGACCAGCAGCCTTTAGGCCTTGAGGCAGGGTCCGCACACGCGCGAGCTGTGGTTTGCGCGACGAAGAAATGAGATTGCGCGATCATTAACGGCCGAAATCCCCGGGGGGGGGGGCGACGATAAGCGCGGCAGCGCGGGAGGGCGACGGAATATGTCGCTGCAAATCCTCGCTGCGGTCGTCGTTGTCGGCAACTGGACGCGCAACTCCTCGCAAACCCGGTTGCCGACACACGTCCGACCACAAGCGAATTCCGTTGCACGCAAAGCACCACGTTGCACAAGCGAGCGCTCGGGAGTTGACTCCGGCTTAACGGCTACGACCGCTCGTCAACTAATAGTACCCGACCGCCACTTCACAGCAGGTCTGCAGTGACTGCTAAAGAAGGAAAGAACGATTCACTCCCCCTCCCCCCCCGCCCACGCAGCCCACTTGCCATAGGAATGTGGAATCGCCACCGCTGGCTCAAGGCTGTAGATACAGCGACACGCGCACTACCATGCCTTGACAAACCGTCAAGAATTTGGATTGATTGACCGTCAAGTTTTTCACGTGTGATTCAACCTTCGTATTTCCAGCTACGGTTTTGGTGGTGACCTCGGCGTTTCAACTTCTCCGCGTTGAAGGCGGAGAAGCCGACGTCGTCACCATCCGTGCCGTCGTTTGCGTGCACACTAAGCTGCCGTAGACTTTCAACCCTCCTCGCAGTCAATGTCAGAGTTGTTGGCGAAGTCTCCCGTAAAAATGTTGACTTCGAAATTATTGCCATCGTCGTCATCATCATCATCGTTTGCCACCTTTTGTCTTCACAACTGCATCGTAATCTTCAACTGCATCTTCATCGTCGTCGTCATCGTCGTATTCCACTGCATCGGCGTCAAACACAAATGGCACGTGTTTGTTTCGAGCTCCAGCCAGATTCACCATCTGGACCACCAGGCATCTGTGTCTCATCATCTTCATCCTCACTAACACCGCCACCACCGCCACCACCGCCACCACCGCCGCCTTCAGTATCAATCAACCATCCTCTGTATCAAATTAAGAAATGTTGCCGCTTTCATTCGGCGTAGTGATGACCATTATTAATAGCATCATCATTATCATCAGGATATCCCTCACCACTCACATAAACCTGTCCCACCTCCATCATTCTTTAAAACAATCAACTTCACATTACGATCATCACCCATGACTGCGATTACAATCATAAACCCAATTATCATCAGCAATATCACCACCACCACCACAATGAACACCCTCACCACTCCCATCACAAACGCCTTCAACACGACATCTACAAAAACCCACCACTACTGCTATCACCACCACTACTATTTTCACAGCCATCGCACCAATATAACCACCGCAACCCATCACTCAATATGATCAACCCCAACACCACCACTCCCAACTCCCAAGTGCACATTCATTGCACAATCACTGCCGTCATTACCATCACCACCAACACCATCACAGCCGCCAACACTATACCATCCTCAAGTGCAAGATCTTTACCACCACCACACTCATTACCAACACCATCACCACAACCACATTCACCACCAACACCACCACCATCCACCACAACCACCACAACCACCACATTCACCACCAACACCACCAACAACCACCACATTCACCACCAACACCACCACCATCCACCATCCACCACAACCACCACATTCACCACCAACACCACCAACAACCACCACATTCACCACCAACACCACCACCATCCACCATCCACCACAACCACCACATTCACCACCAACACCACCAACAACCACCACATTCACCACCAACACCAACACCACCACCATCCACCACCAACAACCACCACATTCACCACCAACACCGACACCACCACCATCCACCACAACCACCACATTCACCACCACCGGCCACCTTCTTTCATCACAGGCCGTCGGTGCCCAGCAGGTCACCGGGCAGGAAGGCGTTGAGCGACGCAGAGACCCCGTTGGAGGAGAGACCACCGCCGACTCCGCCCCTCGATGCGTCCCTCTGGGGGGGGGCCCCCCCGCCCCACAGCGACATCGAGCCGCCCGGACCGGACCCCCAGAGGCCGGCGTCGCTGCTCCAGCCGCCCCCCCCGCCGCCTCCGCCGCGCGGGCTGGGCCCCCAAGACGAGGAAGACGACGAAGAGGGCGGCAAAGAAGTCGGCGGCGGCAGCTGGGAGGTGATGACGCCAGGCTGGGCGAAGAACTGGCTGATCTCGTCGTCGTCGGCAAACCCTGCGATGATGGTGGTGTTGCTGAGGATGCACCTGGGAGGAGGCGGGGCGGGGGGGGAGTACAACAGTGAATGAATGGGGAGATGTTAGTGCCGATCCTACTGATGCCGATGCTGCGATGATGGTGGTGTTGCTGAGGATGCACCTGGGAGGAGGCGGGGCGGGGGGGGGAGTACAACAGTGAATGAATGGGGAGATGTTAGTGCCGATCCTACTGATGCCGATGCTGCGATGATGGTGGTGTTGCTGAGGATGCACCTGGGAGGAGGCGGGGCGGGGGGGGGAGTACAACAGTGAATGAATGGGGAGATGTTAGTGCCGATCCTACTGATGCCGATGCTGCGATGATGGTGGTGTTGCTGAGGATGCACCTGGGAGGAGGCGGTGCGGGGGGGGGCAGAGTACAACAGTGAATGAATGGGGAGATGTTTCGATTTAAAGCTTTCGTGACTGCAGGGATTCATCTTCTTGGTTCTTTCGGTAAAGTCACGTAGAAGGGAAATAATAAAGTGATAAAAATAAAACATTATTACATCATTTTATCATGTTTTATTTTTTCTTACTTTATTATTTCCCTTCTACGTGACTTTACCGAAAGAACCACGAAGATGAATGGGGAGATGTTAGTGCCGATCCTACCGATGCTAATGTTGGTACACATGCTAATGGTGCTGATGAAGTACCGGTGAGGACGCTTGACACCGAGGTTGAGGCACACGTATATTTATTTCACAATACGACAGTGGGCATATAACACTCGAGGGGGTATCGGCCCCCTCACCCGTATAACTCGGGATACACCCCTAGCTAACTCTGTCCTAGCCCCGAGTCCTCCACTAATGGGCTAGGGGAGGCTATCTGGCCCGACACTGGTAAGTCGGGCCCGGTACCCGGAGTTCCAGACCAGCTCTTACAAGAGCACCGGCTCTGGCTTTCGGGACCACGCCGCTGGCTCAGTCCTGTCCGGCCCTGAAAAGGACATCGAACTAGGGGAGTCCAGGGCTCTATCTAAGACGTCTTCAGTCTTCTGCCTTTAGCTTAAAACATAACTCCCGAGCCCTTTGAAACATCCCCTTTTATACCCAACCCCTCCCTGAGGGGTGGGGCCCCGGGGGATCATAACGTTCGAACCAGCCCCCCCCAGGGTGTCTGGCTCGGACGTCGTAGAGGGCACCTCCTCGTGCACTTACGTAGCCCCGCCCACTGTGTTTGTTTTCCATAGGCTGCCATGCATAACGGGCCCTCTCTTTAACACCCCTACATCGATACTGCTGCTAATGATGCTTATACTGATACTGCTGCTAATGGCGCTGATGAGATTGAGGCTGCTGCTAATGTTCCTGCTGATAATGGTGCTGATGCTTACACTGATAAATGCCAATAGTGCTGATGATGTTGATACAACATACATACATCATACAGTACGTATATACGAGCACAGTGCAATGCCAACGCGATTCTAATCCCGCACCTCAGATTAGCGCGGTTGGCTAATCTGAGGTGTGTTCAGAACGCGACTTGGATATAACGCGATGAATGTATCAAGGAACACTTTTATACACGTATATATAACGCGGATGCGAATTGGATATAATGCAGAGGTCGCAAACGGGTACCCGTACCCGGCCGTACCCGTACCCTATCCGATACCCGGCCGGGTACGGGTAGGGTACGGGTATCGGGTATCTGATTGCGACCTCTGTGATCAAGCCATGTTGCAGGCGCGGGTGGGTTGATTCTAGGAACTTGAATTGTGAGAAGAGACAAGACGTTGTGAAATGAGTGACAAACGGTTACTCACCAGTGACTCACGGCCTACCCGTACCCGGCCGGGTACGGGTAGCCGGGTATCGGGTAGGGTACGGGTATCGGGTACCCGATTGCGACCTCTGATATAATGCGATCGAGTGAGCAGAACTACATCGCGCGAATAGGACAAGCGATTGTACAAGCTGCCTCGGCGGAGCATCAACATCACACGAGGCAGTGGGATGCTGCTGGATGCTTCTAGATGCTACCCACGCGCCTCAGTCTTTGTTCGGCCTGCGTACGCATCTCGCGTGTTATCGTAGACTGGGTTTAACCCCTCTATATTAAAGGCGATGTTTCCATGACGCGGTGTTCTTGAGGAACGCAACGACCACCGCGTGACCGGAGAACGGACACCGTACACAGTCAGCTGCTGGTGGAACCCGGAGAACAATCCACGCGACCACCATGGGTGGGTGGGTGGTAAGAGAGATTGCGCAAACTCAAAATACACAGCACGCATATCGCCAGAGTCCCGGGTCGGACCTCTCGACCTGCGTTCCACGGCTGCTGCTGGTGCTGATGGTGCTGGTGGTGCTGATGGTGCTGGTGCTGCTGGTGGTGCTGCTGGTGGTGCTGGTGGTGGTGCTGGTGGTGGTGCTGCTGGTGGTGCTGATGGTGCTGATGGTGCTGATGGTGGTGCTGGTGGTGGTGATGGTGGTGGTGATGGTGGTGCTGCTGGTGGTGCTGATGGTGGTGCTGATGGTGCTGGTGGTGCTGATGGTGCTGGTGGTGCTGATGGTGGTGCTGCTGGTGGTGCTGATGGTGGTGCTGCTGGTGGTGCTGCTGCTGGTGGTGCTGATGGTGGTGGTGCTGATGGTGGTGCTGATGGTGGTGCTGGTGGTGGTGGTGCTGCTGCTGGTGGTGCTGCTGCTGGTGGTGCTGCTGCTGGTGGTGCTGGTGGTGCTGGTGCTGCTGGTGGTGGTGGTGCTGGTGGTGGTGCTGGTGCTGCTGGTGGTGGTGGTGCTGGTGGTGATGCTGCTGGTGGTGCTGGTGGTGGTGCTGCTGGTGGTGGTGGTGCTGCTGGTGGTGGTGGTGCTGCTGGTGGTGGTGGTGCTGGTGGTGCTGCTGGTGGTGGTGCTGCTGGTGGTGCTGTTGTTGTGGTGGTGGGGGGGGAGACCGACTCACATGTGCAGCGCCTTCTGCGCCCGCTGAGCCTCCAGCTCGGAGCCGTAGCACACCAGGGCGTTGCTGTGTGCCAGGCTCAGGTGGAAGGTGACCAGAGGGCCGTGCTGCATGCACAGCGTGCGCAGGGTGGCGCCGTCCACCTACACGCAGCCCGGCGACACGCGCACAAAGACAAAGGTCCCCCGAGTAGCCTCAACAGACTGTTGGGGGGCAAGGGCAGATGGTGCTGGCCACCTACACGCAGCCTGGCGACATGCACAAAGACAAAGGTCCCCCGAGTAGCCTCAACAGACTGTTGGGGGGCAAGGGCAGATGGTGCTGTCCACCTACACGCAGCCCGGCGACACGCACAAAGACAAAGGTCCTCCGAGTAGCCTCAACCGACTGTTGGGGGGCAAGGGCAGATGGTGCTGTCCACCTACACACAGCATGGCGACACGCATAAAGACAAAGGTCCCCCGAGTAGCCTCAACCGACTGTTGGGGGGCAAGGGCAGATGGTGCTGTCCACCTACACACAGCATGGCGACACGCACGCACAAATACAAAGGTCCTCCGCCACGTAGCCTCAACAGACTGCTGGGCAAAGTGCTGTTAGGGGAGCAGTCGCGCCTATGAAGGCCGGCATGGCACACGAGGGGGGCATGGGTGGCCAGCACCACCCCAGCCGCCTTTGTCTCCCCAGTGGCGATGTTTTCTACACCCCACACCAGGTACTCAATCGAGAGGCTGGGCCTCATAGGAGAGCCCTAGGACCGGTTGAGATAATCGTTACTGGTGTCGGCCGTGTAGCACAGTGCAATGCTAACCACTCCACTACCGCTGCCCACGGCACTGTACGTACATCCACACACCCAAGGGCACATAGACAAAGGTACAAAAATATATTCTAAACAAGAGAGACTCCCGGAATTGGAAGAGAGAAGAAACCGCACCTGTGGTGTGAGGTTCCTCAAAATCAGCCACGTGCTCAGCCGAGTTGAAGTACCACAGTCATTGCTCCAGCTTTGAGCTGCAGACAAATTATAGAAACGCACGCACAGACAGACGCACACACACACACACAGTTAAACTTACAGACACACACACAGTTAAACTTACACACATGCAGACACACACACACACAGTTAAACTTACACACATGCAGACACACACACAGTTAAACTTACACACACACAGTTAAACTTACACACATGCAGACACACACACAGTTAAACTTACACACACACAGTTAAACTTACACACACACACAGTTAAACTTACACACATGCAGACACACACACAGTTAAACTTACACACACACACAGTTAAACTTACAGACACACACACAGTTAAACTTACACACATGCAGACACACACACACACAGTTAAACTTACACACACACACAGTTCAACTTACACATACATGCAGGCACACACACACAGTTCAACTTACACACACACATGCAGGCACACACACACAGTTAAACTTACACACACACACGCAGGCACACACACAGTTAAACTTACACACACACATGCAGGCACACACACACAGTTAAACCTACACACACACACATGCAGGCACACACACACAGTTAAACCTACACACACACATATGCAGGCACACACACACACAGTTAAACCTACACACACACACATGCAGGCACACACACACAGTTAAACTTACACACACACATGCAGGCACACACACACAGTTAAACTTACACACACACACACACACAGGCAGGCACACACACAGTTAAACTTACACACACACACATGCAGGCACACACACACAGTTAAACTTACACACACACACACACATGCAGGCACACACACACAGTTAAACTTACACACACACATGCAGGCGCACACACAGTTAAACTTACACACACACATACAGACACACACATACAGGCAGACACACACACACAGTTAAACTTACACACACACACAGTTAAACTTACACACACACACATGCAGGCACACAAAGTTAAACTTACACATACAGGCAGCCATACACACAAGAACACACAGTTAAACGTACACACACACACACAGGCAGGCACACACACAATTACATTTATTGCGCCAGCGTCTCCAAACGCGGTTGCAAATCAAGACGCTCAACCTATTCAAGCCGTCGCCGCCGCGTGCCGTCGAACGGTCTCCCGTCGCCTGCGTTCACCTTCCCACTGCTGCGATGACGACGACGACGACGACGCAGGAGGC